TTTGGACTGGAGATCAAAGCATGTAATTTTGTTCTCTTTTTGATTGGTTGGTTTTTGGCTTAACTTGGCCTACCTCCCACGATAGATTTAACTGGTTGAATTACCAACTTCAAAGTTTTCTTCTTAACGTTTTGATTTTGTATCCGACTGGTGATCAAAATAGACACTTGGGGTCTTAATTAAGTAATTAAGGGGTTTAGGTTTGTGTTGTCATCAAGAAATGAATAAGGGAAGAGTCACATCTCAAGTTTTTGCTTAGAGTCTAGGCAACATGTCTTTGGGGACTGACGTCACCCTCTTCTTTAAGTGCTTTGTAATAGGACTTATGGGAACGGGCAAGAGCCATAAAGAGATTCTGACTCTAAACCCAAATAAAACTATATTGACGAATAAATTATAAATAGATTCTCTTGCAATTTGGGTTTATTTGAGTTTGCTTACCCAACTAGGTTCATTCTTGTTTTATGTAGTTTAATTATGGTGTGGTGGTTGGGAGAGAAAAAAGAAAAGAATTGGATTTCAGGATATATATATATAGCTCTAATTTTTTGATAAATGATGATGCACTTTAGTGTTTCTTGTGAAAATGTTCTTAGTATTAAATCTCATTTTATGCGCTGTCTTTTTTTGTGTTCTCAATTATGTTTGGCTATTTACACTAGTTTGGGTCAATATATTCATTAGCTTTTATATCAAGTTTAGATTTGGATCGGTTGGATCAAGTCTTATTGAATTGAGTTGACAAAGTAATATGCATGCTTACATTTAGCGCTTTCAGCGTTTATGTCTATACTAATGTTTACGTTTGTGTATGCATTTAGCATTTGAGTATAACACTATAACCACATTCACTTATTGTCTTATTGACATGCATGCAATTATTATTATTATTATTATTTTTTTTTTGATCAGACATTCATACCAGTCTACCTCAGACTCGAACTCGCCAACTCGGTCTGGTAGCTCTATAAAAGCACTCCTCTAACTAGTTCATAGCCAATCGCACTTGGGTTAAACGAGTCTAGTTAATGGACAAATTATATTCTCTTACAACTAACTACTAGCTAGCTAGAGTTCCTTTATTAGTTTTATTTAGTCTAACATTAAGACAATAAATCTAAGATGGATATACATACATATTGAATGTGGTTGGTGGAAGTGACACATAAGACATAACCATGCGATATAAGTAAGAAAAAGGCGTGTGGGTAATGGAAGATTTGTGAAAGTGTGTGGGTCTCCCACGTCTTCCAAGTCGCAGCCCATTTGGAATTTTATACAAATTTGAATCTCACGAAACACAAGTCAGCATTATACGACTCTTTCCACCTTCTCTTCCTTCTTTATTTTCTCCTCTTTTCTTTAATCATTTTTTCATGATGTGTATATTTCTTTTCTTTTGAATATTATTACTGAAATTGCAAAAAAAAAAAAAAAAGGTAATTTTGAGATGCACTTTGCTTATTGTACACATATATATACATTATACATGATACATCGATATGTCACAACCAGGATCGTCATTGTGACTGTGAACTAGGGGAAAGTAGAGATGAAAGTCAAATCTCATTATCGGACTACTATCGTATTGTATATCACTCTTTATCGTACCACTTATCTCTAATCATATATATACATATTTATAAGCAAAATAAGTTCTCACCATCTTGTATTTCAAATCATCAACCATTTTTTTTTTAATTTTCAAATAATATAATTAAATAATGAAAATAGGTTGAATAACCACAAAATTTAAAATTATTAAGTTTTAAGTGAATGTTTGTATAAGTTTGGGATTAAGACAAGTAACTTAACAAAAAAAGTCACTGTTGATCTATCAGATTTCCTATTTTTTCTTGGTTCCAAAAACAAGTCATTTATCATCTGTTTTTCTTTTTCTTTTCTAAAGTCATTTATCTTTTCATAACTTTACATAAATAGAATGGTATTTTATTTCTGGAACAAATAGAACACCCCACTTTTATGTTTTGCTAAGTAATTTATTAACATCATGTTTAATTCGATGTTGTTCCAGTAGAATTTTTCAGAAAATTTATAATTAGTTCTTCACTGTATCGTTACCAATTAGACAATTAATATGTATTTGGTTTAAAATCAAATTAATTAAATGTATTTTAAATCACATGAATGTATGCGCCATTCATGGTTATTCTCTTTTATTTGATTGTAGTATCATATTTGTTATGGTTGATACTTGATAGAGTATTAGATTATATATAGTTCAAAATGTTCTGTATACAAAAATTTGTGCTACACCGGTACTAATTTAATATCTTTTATCCCTATATAATCAGAGTCAAAGAGTAACTTGTGGGGAAAACAGAACAAAACATTTGAACAAATCCACTATCCACTATATCTAATGACTAATAGCAATAATGCCGTACGAAGAATCCAAATGGAAATTTCTCTCTTTGTGTCGGGAAAAATATTCTTTATCTTTCCTTGTGGCATACGGAACATGAAAACAATCCTTAAAAAAATTAAAAGATGATAATAAAGTTGTTACTTAATTTCACTCAATCGATAATCACTAAGTTGATTGGGATTGCTTGCAAGTACAAGAAATCGCAACTATATGCCTCTACCACCACTAATATCGAATATGTATATATATGAACTAGAAAGAAAGCAAATATAGGATATTTATTCTTTTAATTTACTTCAGCTAACTTAGTTATTCAACATAAATCAAATGCCTAGCTATCCCGACTCTTTTTTTATCAATAGAAAATAATATTGGTTTATAGTTACATGAGGTATACAAATATAGAAGAATATTGTTTTGTGTCAAATTATCACATAAGAATTGTTTTGTGGAAAATGCCAATATATAGAGGTTAGGCTTTCGAAGGTATACAGATGTTGATGAATCTAAGAGTTAATAATATTATCTTACTTTAACGAAGTTGTCTTAATTAATTCGAATATTTAATGCGCTATTTTTCTTCGGTAGGTTTTGTGTCTCACTTGCTCGAACACTCATCAGACCGTTACCTAACTTTTCAATTCAGTTGCGTAAGGCATAGTAATTCGATGGAGACAACAGTAACAGATGCTGTTAAAACAGAATTCAGTAATTCTCATAGAATGTTTTTTTTTTAATAATTGGAGTAGGTTTGAAGATTGGAATGGAATCTTAAGATAGAGAGAGAGAGAGATTTGATCCTCTTGGAATATATTATCCTTGCGGAATTTGGTTCTTATTTGTGATTCTTTCAACCTCTTATGCTTGTTTCTTCTTTTTGCTCATAAATAAGTTATATCTTTCCATCTACTTTTTTATTTGAATCGATTCTTGTATAATTTTCCTTGTAGTCCTTCCATGTTAGAATCCTATGACGACATGGATTATTTTTCCATTTATTGAAAAGATATATTCAAAAATTATCCAATGTGCGAGTTTCTTTTTTTTTCACTAATGAAAATTATCAAGAAATATTGTTCTTAGAGCAAATTAAACTATTAAAAGGTAATTTTTTACACCAATTCCTCTTAAATTACATGTGCAAGCAAACATCTTTTGAGAGTATCTCTGCTACATTTCTTTTGAGAGTATTTCTTCTGCAATCTACTAGTAGGAAAATTATTGGTTCGTCAATAAGGACACACTAAAAAGAGGGAATGCAGGTGGGATATTACTATTTTCGGTTTCTTATTTTTTGCAACAATATTTTCGGTTGTTTAATTTTCCGAAATAGCACTTCGATCTCCATTAATTATTTGTTAAAAGATTAATTCCATTTTTTCTTTTGGACAAATACGTATCCTTGAAAGATAGAGACGTGATGCTGCTCACCATTCCTATTTTCCCTCTCTCTTTTTCTCTACTTCTTCTCACCTTTATTGTCTATCTTCTCTTCGTCTCTCTTTGGATTGTGAAGTGCTTCAAATATTAGGATTTTTGTACATTTATTAACCTTAGTTCATTTCTCTATTTTTGGTCTGATATCACTAATTTTAACCTCATATTCATCATCTTTCTATTGCGTTCTCTTTCCCTTAATTTATACGCTCTTTCTCGTCATTACCCCTAAATAACTAAATTAAATGAACTAATTATACATATAATTAAACTACATGGCACTTAAGAAAGATGAAAGGAACCTTAAAAAAACTGACTTATACAAGTTAGGGGAAAGATTATTAACTTTGGCATTTATTAGTGGGGACATTATTTGAAATCAGATCACTGATCATTGTAAACCATGAATAGCTTTTTTGGGTTTTTTTTCTTACGATATTTTGTGTTTGAAATGTGTAAATTTATACTTGTGTTGTTTCCACCGAATAATTATGACCTTTTTGACATTAAAAGAGGTAAAACTACTCATCACACTCTTATTACGTTTTGTGCACTTTTGACAAAAAGCTCTCTTTGACAGCCTCTCCGTGCCATTATTACCCTTTTTAGTTGTAATCCTCCATGCATAATTGTAATCATATACACACAACTACAAAAATACAGCTAAAGAAAAAAAATAAAAAAACAAAGAGTAAGTATTATGTACACATTTTAATAACATCACAGTCACGTGCAAAGAGGAAATAATTTCCTCTTTAAACAATACTAATACATACCTTTTTTTAATAATAACAAGATTATTAATTTATTACTATCATTTTTAAGTTTAAATACTCTTTAATAATTCCGGCATGGGATCGGATTGTCATGTCATGGAGAGAAACCCAAACGAACGTGTAAAAAACAAGCTACATCTTCTTTATCTTTTTCCTTTTTTCCAAATAAAATATATATTTTCCGTTTGTGGTAGCATCTCCAAATAAAGAAAGTTTATACTCTAAATTTGTACAATGACTTATAAACATATATGTATTGCAATAAGTGGACCGTTGGAGAAGAACTGAAATTTGCTTGAGAATAAAGTTAAATACATTTTCCTGAAACGGGTGGTTAATTACTCAGATAAAACTCCAACCAAATTTCACGAAATCATATAAAAACCGAAACGAAAGAGAGGACAAAGATTCGTTTTCAAGTAAAAAAAATGGAATAAAGGAAAGAGAGTCGTATTAATATAAAATTATTATAACTTATTAAGATAGTCAACATGAAAATTAAATTAAAGATTTCTTCTGAAACTATTGCAACTACTGGTCTCTTCATCGGAAGAAGAGAAGATCTCCGTCGTGACTCCACTTGAAGCATGATCGGAAGAAGGAGAGCTAGGCAAAAGGTTCAAATCTGTTGTCCTTTCTTTTCTCATGAAATCGAAGAAGATTGGTTTCGTTTTATCATCTGTTTGGTTTGTTGTAATTATATCAATTTGGTCACTCGAATTATTATTATTAATATGTCTAAGATTCCGGCTATCTCCGTCGTCGTCGTCGTTCTTGTTACCGGCTCTTTTCTTCAAGAAGATACGACAGAGAACCCAGTTCTGAGTGGGACCCATAGAACTCTACAAAAATTAGAATCTAATTTAGTGGAGGAGATTAAACCGGAACCTAAACCGGAAATTGAGAGAGTGGGAATATGTACCGGAGGGGAAGAAGAGAGGCGATATTCGTGCATGATCCAATCGGTTCTGGAGCCATGAGGTGGTTTGCCTTTGTAGAACACAAGAGTTTTCTTCAAACCAACGATTTGATTTCCTCTAGAGGTCACAACCCGTTTATCAATACCGGTAGCTTTCCAATAACCAGACCCAGTTGCCCGGTTAGACCGGTTCCCATTTGGGTACTTAGCCTCTCTTGTGCTAAAGAAGTACCTCTCCTTCTCCAAATTGCCTGAAAAACATAGAGAATCTTATGAGCCTAAAGGTCAGAGACTCGAAATTGAAAACTTACTAATTATAGCAAGAATCAGAAGGGCTTACCAGGTAAATCCCAAGGATCAGCTCTGCAAACATCAAACTCAGGGATGATTGAAGCTGGCAAAGGAGAAGAACAAACTTTCCTCTTAAGGTATTGAACAACAAGTTCTTCATCAGTAGGATGAAATCTGAATCCAGGTGGCAATCTCAAGACACCATTCTTAACAAGTTTAACATTATCCATGGTTCCAAACACAAGGAGAGAGAAGGAAGAAGAAGAAGAAGAGAGTGCGGTGTAGGAAGAGGGAAACAAGGAAGGTGTGGGGTTTTATAAGGTAGAACAACTCCTTTTCTTTATTATTATTTATTAGTATTGTTTTGGCGTAAACCATACTCAATCTCCTTCCTCTTCTTTTGACGCCATTTTCATAAATCTATCTTTTCTTTTCTTTTTTTATAATATTCATTCATTACTTATATTTTTGATTATGTCTCTCAATTATTATTTTTAGTCGGTATCTACCTCCTCTTCTTTTGTTCCTTTTTGATATGTAAAGTGTAAACTCTTCAAACATTTTTTTTTACCATAAATAATTGTCTATACAAATGAAAAGGACTACTTTATTAAACAACTCCGTTTTTTTTTTAGTTTGTTTAAAGAAACAAATTATGGCTTAATCATACACTCAAACAAAAATAACGTGGAGGTTAAAATAATATTTATGTTCACTACAAACATTAGCCAACCTAAGCTAAGTCGTCCATCCAATTTGCTTGCTTTCAAGTATTAGTTTAGATTAAGATCATTTTCCTTTTGGTATTTAATAGATCCAAGGGCATTATGGTCATTTACATTAATTGAGGTTTGTGAGAGCCGGTGGAGTTTTATAAGTGAGAAAAGTTGGGTCCATTCGGGACGGTCGCGGCTAAAGCGGTGTTGCTGAAGTCAGCTTACGTCATGCTGACAGCCGGAGCTCGCCCTCTTCGTCTATTTTTACATATATACCCCTTTGAGATTCCATATTTGAAACTATCTCCACAAATATTTAGGATTTTAGGATTTTTTTTTGGAAAAAAGATGGCTAGCTACACGAAGTATCCGCGAAAACATGGCCACACATGTAAAGTTTAATAATGGATCTTAAACTACATGAACTATATGTATCGCATGCCCACACATACGAACTATATATAGTCATGTCGCCAACATCACGAACATTTTTTTCTGGTACACTTTTCGCCGGAATCTGGCATTGACCAGTTTGACCGGCGTTGACCAACATAAATATTAAAAAGCAAAAAATTAGTTTTCCAATATTTAGAAAATTATGTCATTGAATCATTCATAATATTGTATAATTAAAAAAATATATACGATATTCAATATAAACATATTTCGTATATATATTCAATGCATTGATT